TGTTTAGTGTACTGGGGATAGTGTGTGTTTAGTGTACTGGGTATAGTGTGTGTTTAGTGTACTGGGGATAGTGTGTGTTTAGTGTACTGGAGATAGTGTGTGTTTAGTGTACTGGGGATAGTGTGTGTTTAGTGTACTGGGGATAGTGTGTGTTCAGTGTACTGGGGATAGAGTGTGTTCAGTGTACTGGAGATAGTGTGTGTTTAGTGTACTGGGGATAGTGTGTGTTTAGTGTACTGGAGATAGTGTGTGTTTAGTGTACTGGGTATAGAGTGTGTTTAGTGTACTGGGGATAGTGTGTGTTTAGTGTACTGGAGATAGTGTGTGTTTAGTGTACTGGGGATAGTGTGTGTTTAGTGTACTGGAGATAGTGTGTGTTTAGTGTACTGGGGATAGTGTGTCTTTAGTGTACTGGAGATAGTGTGTGTTTAGTGTACTGGAGATAGTGTGTGTTCAGTGTACTGGGGATAGTGTGTGTTCAGTGTACTGGGGATAGTGTGTGTTCAGTGTACTGGAGATAGAGTGTGTTTAGTGTACTGGGGATAGTGTGTGTTTAGTGTACTGGGGATAGTGTGTGTTTAGTGTACTGGAGATAGTGTGTGTTTAGTGTACTGGGGATGGTGTGTGTTTAGTGTACTGGGGATGGTGTGTGTTTAGTGTACTGGGGATAGTGTGTGTTTAGTGTACTGGGGATAGTGTGTGTTTAGTGTACTGGGGATAGTGTGTGTTTAGTGTACTGGAGATAGTGTGTGTTTAGTGTACTGGGGATAGTGTGTGTTTAGTGTACTGGGGATAGTGTGTGTTTAGTGTACTGGGGATAGTGTGTGTTTAGTGTACTGGGGATAGTGTGTGTTTAGTGTGTGTTTAGTGTACTGGGGATAGTGTGTGTTTAGTGTACTGGAGATAGAGTGTGTTTAGTGTACTGGGGATAGTGTGTGTTTAGTGTACTGGAGATAGAGTGTGTTTAGTGTACTGGGGATAGTGTGTGTTTAGTGTACTGGGGATAGTGTGTGTTTAGTGTACTGGGGATAGTGTGTGTTTAGTGTACTGGAGATAGAGTGTGTTTAGTGTACTGGGGATAGTGTGTGTTTAGTGTACTGGGGATAGTGTGTGTTTAGTGTACTGGGGATAGTGTGTGTTTAGTGTACTGGAGATAGTGTGTGTTTAGTGTACTGGGGATAGTGTGTGTTTAGTGTACTGGGGATAGTGTGTGTTTAGTGTACTGGGGATAGTGTGTGTTTAGTGTACTGGGGATAGTGTGTGTTTAGTGTACTGGGGATAGTGTGTGTTTAGTGTACTGGGGATAGTGTGTGTTTAGTGTACTGGGGATAGAGTGTGTGTTTAGTGTACTGGGGATAGAGTGTGTTTAGTGTACTGGGGATAGTGTGTGTTTAGTGTACTGGGGATAGTGTGTGTTTAGTGTACTGGGGATAGAGTGTGTTTAGTGTACTGGGGATAGTGTGTGTTTAGTGTACTGGGGATAGTGTGTGTTTAGTGTACTGGGGATAGTGTGTGTTTAGTGTACTGGGGATAGAGTGTGTTTAGTGTACTGGGGATAGTGTGTGTTTAGTGTACTGGGGATAGTGTGTGTTTAGTGTACTGGAGATAGTGTGTGTTTAGTGTACTGGAGATAGAGTGTGTTTAGTGTACTGGGGATAGTGTGTGTTTAGTGTACTGGGGATAGTGTGTGTTTAGTGTACTGGAGATAGTGTGTGTTTAGTGTACTGGAGATAGAGTGTGTTTATTGTACTGGGGATAGTGTGTGTTTAGTGTACTGGGGATAGTGTGTGTTTAGTGTACTGGAGATAGTGTGTGTTTAGTGTACTGGGGATAGTGTGTGTTTAGTGTACTGGAGATAGTGTGTGTTTAGTGTACTGGGGATAGTGTGTGTTTAGTGTACTGGGGATAGTGTGTGTTTAGTGTACTGGGGATAGTGTGTGTTTAGTGTACTGGGGATAGTGTGTGTTTAGTGTACTGGGGATAGTGTGTGTTTAGTGTACTGGAGATAGTGTGTGTTTAGTGTACTGGGGATAGTGTGTGTTTAGTGTACTGGGGATAGTGTGTGTTTAGTGTACTGGGGATAGTGTGTGTTTAGTGTACTGGAGATAGTGTGTGTTTAGTGTACTGGAGATAGTGTGTGTTTAGTGTACTGGAGATAGAGTGTGTTTAGTGTACTGGAGATAGAGTGTGTTCAGTGTACTGGGGATAGTGTGTGTTTAGTGTACTGGGGATAGAGTGTGTTCAGTGTACTGGAGATAGTGTGTGTTTAGTGTACTGGAGATAGAGTGTGTTTAGTGTACTGGAGATAGAGTGTGTTCAGTGTACTGGGGATAGTGTGTGTTTAGTGTACTGGGGATAGAGTGTGTTCAGTGTACTGGAGATAGTGTGTGTTTAGTGTACTGGAGATAGAGTGTGTTTAGTGTACTGGAGATAGAGTGTGTTTAGTGTACTGGGGATAGTGTGTGTTTAGTGTACTGGGGATAGTGTGTGTTTAGTGTACTGGGGATAGTGTGTGTTTAGTGTACTGGAGATAGAGTGTGTTTAGTGTACTGGAGATAGTGTGTGTTTAGTGTACTGGAGATAGAGTGTGTTTAGTGTACTGGAGATAGAGTGTGTTTAGTGTACTGGAGATAGAGTGTGTTCAGTGTACTGGGGATAGTGTGTGTTTAGTGTACTGGGGATAGAGTGTGTTCAGTGTACTGGAGATAGTGTGTGTTTAGTGTACTGGGGATAGTGTGTGTTGAGTGTACTGGGGATAGTCTGTGTTTAGTGTACTGGGGATAGAGTGTGTTTAGTGTACTGGGGATAGTGTGTGTTTAGTGTACTGGGGATAGAGTGTGTTCAGTGTACTGGGGATAGAGTGTGTTCAGTGTACTGGAGATAGTGTGTGTTTAGTGTACTGGAGATAGTGTGTGTTTAGTGTACTGGAGATAGAGTGTGTTTAGTGTACTGGAGATAGAGTGTGTTCAGTGTACTGGGGATAGTGTGTGTTTAGTGTACTGGGGATAGAGTGTGTTCAGTGTACTGGAGATAGTGTGTGTTTAGTGTACTGGGGATAGTGTGTGTTGAGTGTACTGGGGATAGTCTGTGTTTAGTGTACTGGGGATAGTGTGTGTTTAGTGTACTGGGGATAGAGTGTGTTTAGTGTACTGGGGATAGTGTGTGTTTAGTGTACTGGGGATAGAGTGTGTTTAGTGTACTGGGGATAGAGTGTGTTCAGTGTACTGGGGATAGTGTGTGTTTAGTGTACTGGGGATAGAGTGTGTTTAGTGTACTGGGGATAGAGTGTGTTCAGTGTACTGGAGATAGTGTGTGTTTAGTGTACTGGGGATAGTTTGTGTTCAGTGTACTGGAGATAGTGTGTGTTTAGTGTACTGGAGATAGTGTGTGTTTAGTGTACTGGGGATAGAGTGTGTTCAGTGTACTGGGGATAGTGTGTGTTTAGTGTACTGGGGATAGAGTGTGTTTAGTGTACTGGAGATAGTGTGTGTTTAGTGTACTGGGGATAGAGTGTGTTTAGTGTACTGGGGATAGTGTGTGTTTAGTGTACTGGGGATAGAGTGTGTTTAGTGTACTGGGGATAGAGTGTGTTTAGTGTACTGGAGATAGAGTGTGTTTAGTGTACTGGAGATAGTGTGTGTTCAGTGTACTGGAGATAGTGTGTGTTTAGTGTACTGGAGATAGAATGTGTTTAGTGTACTGGGGATAGAGTGTGTTCAGTGTACTGGAGATAGTGTGTGTTTAGTGTACTGGTGTGTGTTTAGTGTGTGAAGAACGCATCAGCGGCACTGAGATCCGGTTGCTTCTGCTTTTGCGTGTTGTGTTGCAGCGTAAATCAGTGTAACACTTCATGCCTGTTGTTGTTGTTTTACTTTTATATCTTTATATCCGTCTTGAATCTCATTTTCTCATTCTCATTTAATCTTTTTAGAGTTCCCGTGGTCATGGAAAGCATTAAAATTGTGTAATTTCTAATGTAAATTAAAAGAATAAATCTTGTTATGCTCAGTTGAATGGCTTCTGTGAGCATGAACTGGTGAACGAGTGCGAAGAACAGAAAATCATTCTGAACGTGTTGGAAGTCTGAAGATGCAGAGTGTAAATCTGTGTGTGTGTGACGAGAAAACAGGCATTCTGTCTGATTCACCTGCTGAAGTCTGTCACGGTGTGTGTGTGTGTGTGTGTGTGTGTGTAACACAAGATCAGGGGAAATCAAATACTTAAAGATCCTGTGAGTGTGTGTGTGTGTGTGTGTGAGAGTGTTTGAGTGTATGTGTGTGTGTTTGTGTAAGTGTGTGTGTGTGTGAGAGAGAGAGAGAGTGTCTTTCTGTGTGTGTGTGTGTGTGTGTGTGTGTGTGTGTGTGTGTGTGTGTGAATGAGTGAGTGTGTTTGTGAGTGAGTGAGTGTGTGTGTGTGTGTGTGTGTGTGTGTGTGTGTCTGTGTGTGAGAGTTTGTGTGTGTGTGTGTGAATGAGTGAGTGTGTGTTTGCGAATGAGTGTGTTTGTGAGTGAGTGTGTGTGTGTGTGTGTGTTTGTGTAAGTATGTGTGTGTGTTTGTGAGTGAGAGTTTGTGTATGTGTGTGTGTGTGTGTGTGTTCAGAGATGTAATCGAATGGAGTCATTAGTAAATGACAGTATTTTCATTATTCAGTGAATTATCTATAATTATCTCTTGAATATGTTTCAGTCTGATTACTAATCGAGTTAAACTGAATTTGACCATAGCGAGAATAATCAGTCTGTGTTTGCCCTCGTCACTGAACTGATTAATATAAATAAAAATGAATTGCGTTGCATGTCCGGCTCGTGTCCTCTAGAGTGCGCAGAAGAACTGATGTGATTGTCATGTGTGTGTGTGTGTGTGTGTGTGTGTGTGTGTGTGTGTGTGTGTGTGTGTGTGTGTGTGTGTGTGTGTGTGTGTGTGTGTGTGTCGTATACTTTACATCAGTGAACACTTACAGCGTGCAGCTCGAGTGCAGCTGATGGTTTGCGATACACAACCTGTAGTATTTGCATCGGAAGCAGCCCAGTGTGTCTGTGTGTGTGTGTGTGTGAGATGATGATGACCGGAAGTGACGTAACGCGTGTACTGTCCGTGATGTCAGAGTTCGGCGTGGAGGAGAGTGACGCGAGTGCGTGATGACGTCGCGCGGAGATGATGATGAATGAGAAGATGATGATGATGACAGACAGAAGGAGAGAGAGACAGATGTGAGAGAGCGCGACG